TCGAAATTTTATTATTATGATATTAGTTTAATAGTGGTCAAATAGCACAGAAAGATAGAGCGAAAGACGCTCTATCTATTCATAAAAACAGAACATTTTTTCAAGCTTTCTATAAGAAAAAAAAGAACCTCCGTCACTACTTTTGGATAACCCTAAGTACTTTATAATTAAAGTTACTTTTGCAACACATACGAAAAGTTATGTTTGTACACAAGAGAAATATGTGAAATGAATATTGCAAATCTCTCAATTCATATGATATTAAACAATTTTGGAGAAAAATCTGTCGATATTTCTCTTTATTTATTAGGATGTTCAGCTTTTATAGAAATCAAAGGTACTAAGTCGAATTATTTTCCGTTATTTAAAGATGTTCCACAGGGTTCGTTTATGGGCCCAGCATTATTTATTGTTTTTCATTATGATATGTTAAATGCACAAAGTTATTATCTACAATTATTCGTGCTAATTCTTCAGTCGTTGCTAATTTTATTCAACAAAAATTATATCTGTTGTTCTTAAGAGAATATATCTTGAATCCTGTTTTGCTGAAAGAATAACAAGCAATTGTAACAAGAGGAAGAACATCAAATCGTATACAACAACTACTATCATCTTGTAAACAATCTCTTTTTGATCAAGTTTTTTATTTTACGTAAGAAAAAAAGGAACTTTTTAAAATATAGACGTAGAACTGATTTCTATTATGTTAAATATTTATACATATTACTATTGAAATTTTTCTTATAAATAACGATTCGGAAAAAAAAATAGTTGCCATATTATTTAATCTTCTATAATTTATTTTCATTATTATTGTATACTGCATTCTTTTTGTCATATAGTGATAATATACTCTTACTTGGTTTCTTTTTTGTAAGACTGCAGAGACAATGTTCATCTAAGTCTTCTTCCTACGATACTACTTACTTATTTCTCCATTTCTTATGATAAATAAAGCAATATACTACTACTACTAATGAAATACATGTGATGACAAGTACATGGATGAAAAAAAAGCCGTCTACATGATGAAAAAGTCATGGTCCATTGATTCACATAAACATCATTAGAAAAAAACCAAGTAAATATTATCAGTGATAAATACAGAGTAAAATCGATTGCAAGCACACAAAACAAAATCTGTACACGCCAGTATCATCTAGCACGTAAGTATAAAGTTAAAAGTAAAGAGTAGCTACAAATAAAAAAAAACGACGGGACTTAGACATGTGACATTTTGATGATCATGAAGTAATGTTAAGAGAGCTCTGCTTGATGATACTCAGAATATACGATAGATTGTCTTGATCGAAGTATCTCTTATGCATAACACAGTCTTATTGTAAACCACATTAAACAGTAACTTTTTCTATGCGTATATTTCATTCGAAGTACCAGTAGTGGAAGACACGATTTTCACTTGTAGGAAGATAATATAGCAACAAATTCAAGAACTTGTAGTAGAATTTTTTCACTGATATAGACACACGAAAAAAAAACTATTTGAATCTCGATATAATTACTCAGTTGAAATCTAAAATTTGAACATGAAAGCAACAAGTCCTTATTCACAGAATAGGAGACGCATTCTGATTTTTCACATGCAACACATAGTGGAAGGTTTTGATCAGAGATAGTCTTTTCACTCTTCTGTATGAGCAGCGATGGGATGAATTCCATTGATTGACATGTTTGTCTTCTTAGAAAAAATATCTCGAAAATTAGGTCGAGTAAAATAAAAAGCGCTTATAAAGAAAGTTTCAGGTAGATGATGGGTATGGGTGCGGGTATCAAAATGAGTGTGATGTGCGTAGAAACTTTGAAGTTTTCACACCCACACTCAGCTGCATACAGTGGACAGAAAAAAGGAGCTTGAAGGAACTCCTACTTGATATCATTTAATTGGTTGATCTGTGGCAAAAAACTGTATTGGCGATAAAATTCTGAGGATATTAAAGAATATTTTGAAAAAATCCTTTCCAACCATCTATCTTTTGTTGACCATCTAATGTTAAAAACAACAAAAAAAGTTCGAAAACATGCATGTGTTACCATTATTTATGATAGATAAATGGCTCCTTCTTGCCGCTTCCTGTTGGTTTTCAACAGCTCTTCCATGAAAAAATTGATCATACTTGTAAATTTTCTACAGTTGCAAAAGTGGTACAGTTATATAATAGCAGGAAACGATATAAAAATGAAAAAGTTTGATTCGCTCATTTTTTTCAGATTGAAACGAGGGCCTTTTACTTGTTAAATATTTTTTGGATTGTCGTGTCTTAATATGATTCATATGTAAATATTAAATATTATATGTATGTACGTGGAAGAAGACAGGAGCTTGGTGAATTGTGTCGACACGCAAATTTCTGATTTTGTGTAGTGTACATACTCCCTCATGCAAGAGTTCGATTTTTTTCTTCGACGTATATTTATTTATCTCTTATTAAAATCAAATCGTTCTCCTATAACCGCTCCATATTGGATCAAAAAACTTGTTCACTTTTTCAAACTCTTCATAGTTATTAGAAGTGATGTACACGCATGCCGAGGAGTTATCGAATTACACTTCTAATGTAAATAGATCTTCGAGTGGTAAAGAAGTTCATCTCATACAAGAAAATATGTATGTCAGAATCTGATCTCTGGAAAACAACTCTTGAGTGTTCATGCATGTATGCCACATCTGCTTTGTTTTTCAATCACGTATGTGCATGTCGCATTTTTAAATTTTCGCCTTTGACAAAATTAAGAACTCTAATGAATAAAACTAATCATCTGAGCAAAGAAATTGTCAATCGTATTATACATATTATTGAAAAACTTAAAAGACTTTCACTGGAGCAGTAACTAGAAACAGCTGATTTGCAGACCTTTGACTAGAATACAACAATTGAATATGAAAATATACTCTAATTCTTGACAAAAAAAAAATTACCGATCCCGACGAAATCAAAACCATCTTGCAGATTCTTAATTGTTATAACTCTTATTATTATCTCTACAATCATTGTCTCGACTTTCGATCTATGTATAAGACTGCTTTTCGTGGTATTATCTTATTGTAGTAAGAGTTTTATATGAGTTATCTTTATTTTTACTTTTTAAACCGCAGTACGCAAGCAAATATTTTCATGCATCTTCAAGAACTATACAACAACCGTGTCTGTACTTTATTTTTGATGTTTTTTTTCTTGCAAACGTTATCGTTCTTCACTTGCTTTATCATTTTAAATGACTAACGGTAAGCTATCAAATATAACTACACAATCGTATCTACACATGCTTCGATAATAATGAAACCGTCCAACCGTATCTATCTACTTGTTTTTTTCTAACATAACGGGTTTTTATTCATTGTGAGCAGTAGTAAGGAGTACGACAGAAGAATCGAGTCTTCATACATTGGTCCTCATAAGGACTTTGTCAAAGTGTTAAGACAGAAGGTAATTATATTATGATGTCTGGTACAAAATGTAAATATGTTGTTCTTCATTTATTTACGCCAAATGTATTGAGAAAAATCGAGAAATAGCATTATTTTATATTTTTACTTGATAGAAAGATATAATTATCTTGCATTGCAACAGTTAGAGAAGATTCTATATGAGAAACAAAATACACCATTCTGTATGAATCGGTTCTTCTGTTGTACTCGTTCATTGTAAATATATTTTAGTAGAGTAAACAATGCAACAAAATCAACGGTTCGCTCAAACAAATGTCAATAAGCTTGCAATGAATAATGGTGATATGTCGTCATTACCAGCGACATATAATCATATTCAAATAATCACAGCATATCAATTGAAACAACTGTTGTACAATTTTGTTCGATTACTACCATTAACAATAAATAAAAGTAAAAAAATTTCTATTATTGACATTTCCAGCATATTTTATCATTTATCAAGGTGAGATATAGCTATCATGCGCATTTTAGTCATTTTTCTCACATTTTGTCTATCTTGGTTAGGTCAACACAAAGAAGAAATGGCACATATATTATTGAATACTTTGTTAAGATCTACAGCTCACATCTTGAAATCCTATTTTAAATCAAGGCAAAAACCTGTTATTCAATTCCTTAAGTTACTAAATCATAGTCTGCAGTTATGTACTTCAACTACAATATTTGAAACTGATCAATTAATGCCAACGGTAGATGCATTATTATTAATCTTAGACGATAAATCATTATCTGTACAAGACAATAAATCGCTTATCAAGCATTCTATTGATCTTTTGCTAACTTTAATAAAAAAGAACAACGCAATTTTGAATTATGTTCATCAAAAAGAAGATATTTTCCAGAAGTTCATAGACCGAGACAATAATAATGCACATGAAATATTAAATCATTTATCAGTACACAATGAAAATAAAGATAACAACGAAAAGCTATTGGTAGACACATGTAAACCAGTTCGACTTAGAAGAGATGAAGAAAATACTTTACAAGGTAAGTCTATATTCAACATACATAAGTTCAATTATTACTCATACGACACAAAAACACTTCAGAAGAACCAGTACATCATCGTCAAGTTCCAACCACATTTTCTTCATCAATTTTTGCATCAAATGAAAATCAAAATAAAGAAGAAACAACATTAATTTGGTGTGATAAAAATATTGATATTCATGATGATACAAAGAAAACGGCTGAATTATTACAACAAGTTAACGATTATATTCTTATCTGTTCAAATCTTGATACATGTTTGGAATATATTAATCAAATCAAAACAGAAAAAGTTTTTCTTATCTTATCAGGTCAAAGTGCAGATGAAATGATTGACAAAGTTCATGATTATAAACAAGTAGATTCGATTTATATCTTTTGTATAAACAACATCAAATATGAACATTATTTAAAAGAAGATCATGAGAAATACTATAAATTAGTTGGAATATATACTGAACATGAACCATTATTGAGAGCTATACAAGAGAATATTCGTTATTTAATTAAACAATCACAAGCTGCAAGTTTATTTGAGCAAGATGAACGATCAATGAGAAATTTAAGTAGTGAATTACATAACTTTGATGCATTTCGTGCATTCAAATATGTTTTATTGAAAACTGATTATGATCGAGAACAAGCAAAAAGAGAAATGTTAGAAACATGTCGAAATTACTATCGAGGAAATAAGAAAGAATTAGCGAATATCAACGAATTTGAACAAATTTACAAATCAACTAATGCTATTCATTGGTACACACGACAAACATTTGTTTATCGATTAGTTAATAAAGCTCGAAGAACTGAAGATTATGAAGCATTATTAATTCTTCGATTCTTTGTTATTGATCTATGCGAAAATCTTCGATTGAAATATGACGATCTGAAACAACGTCAAGAACAATTAGGTTCATCAACAGTTGTATCTTATCGTGGTTCGAAACTATCATCACCTGAAATTTACAATCTTAAATATAATATTGGTAAAAGTATTGCTACAAATGGATTTCTTTCGACGAGTAGATCGAAAGACGTAGCCAACATATTTGCTAAGAAAGGAACAAAACGTTTAGGTGTAGAAACTGTCATCATTGAAATTCATGTTGACACAACAAAATTAACCACA